GGTTATCAAAATCCGCCCCTAATGAGTATGTATTCGCCGGCTGGGTGTTGTTAGCGTGCCTTCTGCCCCCCGCAGGTACGTGGACGGGCGCTGCGTGACCGACGCGAGCGGCGAGGCGTCCTCCGACAGGCCGGCGGCGGGCGGCGACAAGCGCGACTTGGCGGGCGAGCTGGAGGGCGGCGAGGACGGGGACGGCGCCAACGACACGTGCCTGCGCATCACGCTGCAGCGGGACGAGTTCGTGCTGGAGAACGCCAGCCTGCGCCTCACGCTGGCCGGCTCGCCGTTCTACGGCCTCGTGCTGCCCGCCGGCGAGTTCCGGCTGCTGGGCGACGGGCGCGCGCAGGTGTGCAACGAGTACCAGTACGCGCTCGTGCCCACCGACACCGTGCAGGTACGACAGCGGAACGGAGGATTACTCCAGAGACTTATACACTCGATGCCCTTGAAGGGCGAAGGGCCCCTTCTCACGTCGCCACCGCTGCGCGCTTCCGCACACCGCGGCTCGTAGCAGAGCATTGGTTTGAGTGGAGACCTTTTTCTGCGCTGCTGCTGGCTGGAGTCCGCCACCGAGCGCCACAGCAGCGCGGTTCCGCCACTCGTGGGAACCTCCATTTAAAGCAATGCTTTGCCAGTTATGCGCCACTCGGAAGCGCCGTTGAGTGGCGCCGTGTGAAGGGGCCCATATTATCCGCTAAGCAGCAGGCGAAGGCCGGTTCAGTAGCGTTCAGTATGTTACACTGATGTTCGACAGATTAGTGTAACACACTGACAAGTGACGGGCAGCCCGATTGCCAAAACTGCCTGTGTCCGGGGGGTCCTAGGTTCAAGTCCCCGCGGTGGCTGGATTTTCGACACTAACTAGCTAGGTCGAAAACCCCTTACCTACTCACACAGTTACAGCTACTACATTCTCACACATGCCGGGAGACTGGTCGGAAGCTCAGATATTGTTCGGGTTGGGACGATACCCCGCTCGTGGAAGATACCTGGTTGGAGGGAACCCAGCCAGGTAGGTCGGCGCCGAATCTCACTACACAGCGAGTGAATATCACCGCCACCTCCAGAGGAAAAAACATACAACACACTTACAAGACTAATGACCTTAGCCGTCCACGAACTCGAAATAACTATAAATCAAACCGCATGCCAAAACAGATGGAATGGGATTGGGATAGCAAAATGCCAGTTATTGCTCAATTCCCCTTATCCCAGTATCGAAGGTCTCCCTTTACTGATTTTCTTTGTCTGGATCTCCAAAAGCCCAAAGTGCGTGAAGTGCGCTTTGCTTCATTGGGTCTGTTCGCGGGAGGTGCAGCGTGTGTGCGCATGCGCAGGGCTACATGACAGCGGTGTGCCTGGCGGTGTCGGCGGTGTGCCTGGCGCTGCATCTCGTCGTGCATGCGTTGCTGCCGAAACTGCACAACCTGCCCGGCAAGAACCTGCAGGTAGGTGCTCTGCCTAATACAATCCAGCTGAATGTTAACATGCCAGGCGAACGGCAATTTATCACTTATATTGAGAACGCTATATAATGAGAACGTTTACTTCCTGAATATCAGTGCATGATGAATTACCTACCTTTGAGGGGCAAATGTTACAGATGTCGATGAAGAAACAACATAGCATCACCGACTTCGGACACGCGTCAAGCATATGTCCCAACTTTATGATGATTTTGCATCCCTTACGTTGCGGGTTCTATTTGATAGCGTGACAAATAAATTTAACAAATATGAAATTGTAAAAATCACGCAATCCAGTGGTACTCGCGGAAAGCTAAAGTACAGACAAGGTCGAAGTCAGTGACACTGTATTATTTCTTTATCGACGATCTGTAACTTCACTACTTGAGATTTCTTATCACATGCTCATTAATAAAAACTTATAGACTTCAATCCGCACCCCTATGACATTTATTCAGAGACGTCCTGTACAGATGATGTGTTTTTATCTTGAACATGTTCTAAGATTGAGTTATTATTGTTTCCGGGCCCGTCAGCTGCTACGATCGTTAGTCCCGTCATTAGTATAGTGGATGTTATACACTTCCGAGAGTAGTGTACTATGCTTACGAGACTAATGACCCTAGCCGTAGACAGGTCCGGAATCATCAATCAACCGACTGGCCTATTGGCCCCGGATCTCACCATCCACTGGGAGAAGATCACCGCCATGAAACACGCACTACTCTTACGGGACTAAGGACCTTAGCAGTTGTCGCGCCCGGGATTACGAAGGAACAGAGTGAGTGTGTGTGTGTGTGTTGCGCAGGCGCTGTCGGCGGCGCTGCTGCTGGCGCAGCTGGGCTTCCTGCTGGGCGTGAGCCCGCCCGTGGAGCCCGTGCCCACGGCGCTGTGCGAGGCCGTCGCCGCCGCCGTGCACTTCTTCTACCTGGCCGCCTTCTGCTGGATGAACGTGATGAGCGTGGACATCTGGCGCACCTTCTCCGCCGCCACGGGCCGCACCGCCGCCTCGCACCGCCGCTACGCCGCCTACGCGTGGGGGCTGCCGGCCGCCGTGGTGGCGCTGTCGCTCGCCGCCGACCACGCCCCCGGCGTGCCCTACTTCCTGCGGCCGGGATACGCGGAGGTACGCACCGCTCGTCTAAGACCGTTTTACGTGGTCTGATTTACTTTGTCGCAGACGCACGTATACAGAATGTCCAGAAGATCGCGTTACAGATTCTGGGTTGACGTTCATAAAGAATGGCAGGCTAATTTTTTCAGAAAAAAATATTTGATTTGAATAAAATTGAGTTTAAAGTTACTTCCGGGCACGAAATTGAAACCTGCTACAGTGACAAAATAGCCACCACAGAATGTCAACACAGAATCTAGTTTTTTTGTTTGTTTTTTTGTTTGGTGTGGATGTTGGTTTTTTTGTTGTTTTTTTTAACGGAAGCTTTTGGACAACCCTGATACGGAGATATATGCGTAGTAAAGAGAAAAGTATTTCATGCTGCGGAAAATCTAGATTTGAACGGAAACACACAAATTTTTTTGGGAAATGCACGTAATATTCCTAAAGTCATATGTCATTTCCAGGAGACCGAAGATTTAAGAAAATGTAAAAAAAAAAATATTTCGGCGACAATAGATAGCAGCTGGGAAAAGGAAGAAACAAAACTGAAAAGCTAGACCAGACCAAAGAAATTAGAAAAGTAACTAGTACGAGAAACTGTGCCGTTCTGTAGCACTATTTTGTTCTGTACAGAAAATTTAATTCTACGCGATACTAAATCGGTATCCAAACTGGATTGACTGCAGTAATCGTTTTGGGTTTCTAATCCTCATGAAAATATATTGGTCAACATAGCATCTATAACTATAACAAATTAGCAGCGTTTATAACAAATTGATTGAAATTGACTTTTTTGTTTATGGTATTGGTATATATATATATATATATATATATATATATATATATATATATATATATAT